TGCAACAAAGAAGGTGGAGAAAATCTGGTTCTAACTCCGGCATTGTTCCACGTAAACTCTCCTTTGAAAGGGGATTAATTGCGCTCAGTGTTTTTGCATAATCCTTGCAGGGCCGAGACAGTTTTTAAGTTTTGCTGGAGGGGGTTTTGATTTTGATTTAGAACCAAGCAAGCGAGAACACTCCAGGGCGGCACCGAACAATGGAGAGCACAGCTCGCAAAATTACATGTTTGAGGAGAAACTGATTGAAGGGGTGGTTTTATCGGTTTGTTCCGTTTAGTCCGAATGAATGCAGGCAAGCCCATTTTGCTCTTTGTCAATTAGGTGGAACGTGACGGCGCCCTTCATCCCAAATTAGACAAAAAGGGTGTGACGAAACATCACATCAAGTTGTATAGACTTGTACAAAGTACTGAATGGCCAAATGAAAGAAATGGCATACAGTATATATTTCTGTATCTAACGTCCCAACATTATTTGTTTGAATCCACACATCAGAATTCAGACATATTACAAGACTTGGAGGAAACAGAATGGAGTTTCTTTAAAAAGGTTCTAATAATTTACCTGAAAAAAGTTTTTATCAGGTCAAGGTCGAGAAATATATACATTGTACCTGGCAAATTAAAATTTGTTCACATTTAAATATCTGGCAGAAGCAATGTTGGCAAACCAAATGATGAAACAGTTACAGCACAACCACAGTGCTCTAGCTTGTTAGTACGTGTATGGAAGAGCCACCCTCAAAGGAAAAGTGTTCAGCCTTCTCGGCTAATTTCACTTGGCAGCTTACACTTCGCAGCGGTGGTTTGGCTTTAGTTCATGTACAGGTGTTATCACAGATCCTCACATATTTACAGAGTAACTGTCCAAGTAGGTGGCGAGTTTACACAGGTTTTTAACATTAGTAGACTCAGAGAAGACTACAAAGACACCTAATGTAGCCACAATATGCACTTCAAAGTTGGTAAGAGGGACAGGCAGGCATATGGATGTCTTCATCATGCCAAGAGGGCTCGACCTTAAATGGCGGCGTTTACGCCACGGAAATTTAGCCAAGGAAAACAGCTATTTCTCCCAAGGAAAGCGTTGGTTTGTTTGTGGGGAGGGAAGACCGTGGTGTCAGAAGGCCAGGCTTTGATCCGGCGGGGTATTTGTATTGCCAAATGGCGCAAGGGGAAATAAGTAACACCGGGATTTGATGATCCCTGAACCTGAACTCCCTGAATCCCTGTATCTGACACCGGGCTAAAAAAATGCCTCTTTAAATTGATGAAAAATACTGAAGACAAGATGTGTTTTTTATTCAATGTAGCAATTGTTCCAGCACAATAAATAACACCGGAATTTGGTGATCCCTGAACTCCGTATTTAACACTGGGCTAAAAAAAATGCCTCTTTAAATTGATGAAAAATACTGAAGACAAGTGCTTTTTATTCAGTGTAGCAATCGTTCCAGCACAATGCTTTCATGTAGTCTAATGCTTTAATGTAATCCAATAATGAAATTATGAAAGTGTAAAATTAAGTCTAATTCTCTGAAGATATGCACTTCAAAGTGCATTTCTATCAAATATGCACATTCACCTGTAAGTGCATGCCTTTTTCTGGATACTATTTAAGATGCTGGTTATTCCAATGATACGAGAGTAATCTACACTTTGAGAACTAAAATTGGAGACTGTGTGATGGCTATCTTTTAATACATCTTTCTGGGCTTTGAACCCTAAAATTCTGTCTGGACCAAATTGCGGAAATGGGTGAGACCTTAATGTAAACAACCTGGTGTTTGGCCAACAGTAGCCAGTAGGGATTTGGGAGTTTGATAAGGTTTATACACAGGAATTTGTGAAGGACCATGCTTCAAGTAAACTCTATACACCTGACATACACAACCAGGCATCTGCTTAGGAATTGTCCACTTTACAATGGCCACATGTGCAAGAAACTTGGCCTCTATTGAAGTGTCAATATGAATTGTTCTCCGTGTTTCCTATGCTGAAATTCAATGTGACTACAGGTGACACTTCTTATTAAAGTTTTATTCTAACTTTTACAAGAACCCCTTTCTAAATTCTCTAATCTCCTATCGGTGGTAAAAAGACAGTACCAAATTGGCCAGGCAGTATCCATTAGCCAGAGAAGGTTCGCGGCCACCGACGGGGGTAGCGACAAAAAAAAAATGGCCATATATAAAAGGTAACGATCATTCCCCTTTCACCATTCATTCCTTTCCCGATTTTGACACTTGGCAAGTTACAAGTGGGGCCTTGCCTTCAAAGCTTTAGGAGCAGTTCAAAATCCTATGAAACATTTGCTTTTGTAAAACATACTGTCCATAAATGGGCTGTGGTATCCTGAACTGGTGTGTATAAACTAAACCCCATGACTTTCTTCTACTAGCCTGGTATCCAAACCTAATTTGGCTACGTATTCTCTTCCGTCCTCTTCACAGTGTTACTTCTAATTGCAAAGAGGACAAAAGAGACTCGGCAGCTAAATGAAGTTTCAGATACCAGCTATTCTTCTACAGGTACAGACTACCTGTACAGTACTATCAGTAGCCAATGGTGGTAAGTGTATCCCAGCCCCCAAGGCCACAGTGTCTAAACCTGGGTAACATTAGAGGATGCGCCATGCTCAATCTGAATGGCACTGGGGCTGACCCATGAAATCAGCAAATGTACAAAGACTGGAAGAGGACATTTTATTACTCTCCAAGCAGAGGTGAGAGGGAGAGAACGTAGGATATTCCGACATGGCTAGCTAAAGGAGGCA